CACCTGCACCACATGCACTCATCCATTAATCTGACAGTTGGTCCATGTTTACTGAATATGGAATGACATCTTTTTCACAGTTAAGCTGGAGGATGAAAGGGTGCTTGAGACATTTATTCAGAAAGTGCTTTTATGGGTTGCTAAGAGTACTTGTAAGACTGTGGAAAGGCAAATGAAATTCTAACAAGAAGAGACACAGATTTTAACTGAGTTTGTGTGATTCTCACTGGGCAAAAAAGTGATGTATACATACAGAGTTCTGCACTCCAAAGACCAGAGGACCTTAAACTCTCTTTTTTGTTTAACCATCTATTTTTGTTGAATGCTTTACTGATGAAAATGTCTGTCAGAATTACATTCAGCTCCAGAACTGCTGTAGTGAGTGGTGCTGGAGCTGATAAAAAATATTTTATAAGTATTTTTATAACCAGTGAAGTATATTGAAAAGGATTTGTCACACCTAAATGTAAACCCCATCAAGTATACTTTAACAACACTTTCAAGTAATTATACATTAATAGCTGCACCCATCATGTCATTGTGTAGGTAGATATTCGTGTTGTCAGATGTACTCCAACTTTTTTGAAAAGAGTTAAGCTCATCTTCTGCTTCAAGAGTGAATTGTCACAGGAGATACTGCCTCTGAAGTAAAAACAGTAATTAGTTGGAAATCTCTCTGCTATGACATCTCTTTCTATCATCTGAATTAACCTGTAATTTCTTTGCAAGTTGATGTCCCAGGCAACTAAATGACAAATATATCAAGTTTATGAGGAGTGTATTATAATGCAGCTAAAACTAGCAGTGATAATTTGGCTGAAGAAAGAAAATTTATAGTCACATACTGTAGTCAATTAAACAGCTATTAAGTTTAGTCATCAGATATGTTTTCTACGAACATGAGCTAACTCCAGAGCACCTAATCTCTTTAAAATCTACAGCTAAAACATTTCCTTGTGAAATATATGACAGGACATGTGGTCATACTTATCCATATTGAGTGGCACTTAATGCCACAAGTAGTCTATTGATTTCAAAACAGCACTTCCAGAATCACAGACTTCTCATTTCAAAGATTTAAAGAACAAATAGACCACTAGATAAACTATTTGGATTTCTGTACCTTATTGGCCATTTAGATTCACAGGAATGCCTCTCTACTGAGCCAAAAATAATACAACACAATGAAATAATGTGACCAGAATATTTGGTTAGATGTGTACATCAAAGTGTTTTCTCCAAGTCTCAGATCTTGTTTAATAGTAAACTCCAGTCATATGATCAAGACATAATATCATGTGCACACCTAACAAAGAAGATAAGTAGTGCTGCTTCAAAATACTTATTCATCTCATCCAGTCTGTGATTTACAGAAAAAAAAAATTAATGAAATCTTGTAGGCGATGTCCATGCTCAGCTGGAAAATTATCATAACTACCCTCTGCAGGGAATGACAGAAATTCTAAAGCATGAGATGAGAAAAAATTGTAGTTAGTGGCTTAATGCAGAGCGCCAAGGTTTCTATTCTTGTTAAGGGCATTGCTTTTTATGGTTCATTAAGGAACCAATGTGGAAATTTTTAGAGTAGGTACAAACTCTTGTCTGACGGTCTTTCCGTGCGTGTTGACCAAGCTTTATTCTCTTCATTGCTTCAAATAGAAGAATGTGTTGAGGTGGGGTGTCATGAACAGACGGGTTGGGAGGGATGGTCTGAACACAAGCTGAATTCATTGTGCTTTAGAGCTGAGCACGTGGTAAGTCATGCCTTGTTCCCCTGCTTACCCCATGCACTGAGTGAAGATATTGGGCAGACCACCACCATCACCAGTTGCCCCAGCCTTTGTCTTCCTTTGTCTTCTTGCATCTACTTCCCATTTGCTCACCAGGGTCTTTCTGCCCATATATATTTCAGTCCCCCGGGCCATTCAGATGCTGTACTTTCATGCACAATTATCTAAAAATCTATACTAAAGGTCAAGTGACAGTGTTGCAAGTCCATCAATACATTTTGTATAGGTTCTTCTCTAATGGATTTCTTTAATAAGCTTCTCCAGACAAAAAGCTCTGTCCTTCATGACAACAGTCTGATTTTTAGGCTAAAAATAGTGGGATGGGGTCACTTCTGGAAGAGATTTTAAGTCTCATAGAATCAGGCTGCACTGAAACCCACAAGTCTGTATGGATGAATGAGCTGAGGCACCTCAAGCACACTTTGAAATGGACACAAGAAGCAACTTGAAGAAAGAGAAAAGCAGGACTCTCACTATGGTAAGTGCTACCTGGACCTTATAATGTTTAGGGAGACTTATTTTAGAAATGAGAGAATTATGGGCTGTGACAAATACAAGCTATATTGTATGAAGTCTGTCCTGCTTTAAGTAACAGAATATGTATTTATAAAGCCATCTTTTTCCTCCTTATCTTCCTGACCCATAAGGACAACCCAGAGCATAGGATGGAACCTCAGGACACAGATTTAACTGAACAACCAGCTGCCCTTCCCAGCTGTGTCTATAACTATTATTTACAGGATTCCATGAAAGACTACATATTTACTGAGGACATTTAGAATCCCCACTCATTTTAGAAATCTGTTCATACTGATATCAAAGTACAGTTTTTAAGGTAATTAGTTTGTCCAGTACCGAACAGAGCAAGGAAACAGCCATTTCAGTGGGCAGGGGAAGACACTCGATCTGACATACTTACCATGCACAGTGTTGGACTGTACTTTGAATTTCTCCATTAAGTCTCTTTTTCCTCTCCCTCTCCCATACATGCAGTTGTGAAGATGGCTTTCAGTGATAAGAGTGTCTGCCTGCCCAGACAAACGAAGAGATATTCAATAGTTGTAATTTTCATACGCTATTCTCTATGCACTTGAAAGTCAGGCAGAGGACCCTTAAAACCTTTCTGCCAGCTAGAATTACCTCCCAAACCTGTAGTCTAACAACTTTGTTTAAAAATATAAACCCTAGACATGCTATGCAAAATGGTAGAAGTGTCAATTTCCAACTTAGATGTAACACAGAAAATGTAGGAGAATCCTTTAAGTTTTCAAAATGTAATACACTTTTTTATTTTCTTAGCAGGAACTTTTAAATCTATTGAACTACCACCACTGTTCAGGATTCATGGGCTGAGTTCACCAGATCACCAGGAGAAAAGGATGCAAAGTTCTGTGAGGAGATCTAGGAGATCACCTTTTTTGGTTACTCAGAGGTTGTTAGGAGATCAGACTGTACCACATGCAAATTCTGGCCAAACTCCTTGGCCAAAACCAACAGAATCATTTGACAGAAATGGGTCAGTTGCTAATTAGTCACATGAGAACTGTGATGGCCAGCACAGCCATCTTCAGCTCTGCTACCACATTTGTAGTCATCTCCAGTGACCTTTTTGTCTCTGTCAGCATGAACAGTTTCATTTCGAAGGTACTATGTCTCACAGCCAAAAGAGATACTAAAGAAATCTGGGACTGACTGGCCAGTCACGGTATGAACCAGGAAGGGCATGTTCTCTTTAATCCACTTGTTCATAACCTTCCAGCCATATGTAGTGTAAACAGTGGTGCCTGACATGTAAGAGCAAAGGAAGCCAATGATTGTCTGATGAAGCTTAAAATTTGGGTTTGATATTATTTCCCTATTCCACAGTGTCTGGCATGAACACTCACACAGGAGTTCTGGGTTTTGTGAACAATTTGATGATATAATGGCAATGGCTTCCAGATCTGGTTGCTTGGCTTTTCCTTCTGTCTTTTTTCTATATAGCTTTTGTTAAAAACACAATTCAGCAGCAAAATGAATGGCTGAGTGTGTGCTTACTAAAGAAAGAAGAGTCTATGGCTCCCACCTTAGGCTGGAAATAGATTGTAAATATCGGGAAACCCATAATTTACTGATGAGAAGAATAAATTAAAAACAGATGAAAAGAGTGCACAACATTGTTGTTACAGATACCATCCCACAGCTACACAAGCCTTGTTTTGATATACTGTCAGCCTCGCTGTGACT